GGCTCTCATCATAAGATGATTGATAAGTGTGATCAAGTCATTTTTAGAAAAATACTGGTTTCGAAGTACTTGCCCATAATAATGCATAAATGTGGGCAAGTACTTCGAAACCAGTATTTTTCTAAAAATGACTTGATCACACTTATCAATCATCTTATGATGAGAGCCACTTTGTTGGAAGTGGCTATCCCCTTTCTGAGCAGTTGAAAATTTCTAAGATAGTAAATTTTTTCCCTTTGTAGACTTGATATGTGCTCTGGATACGTAAGGAGGTTGTGTCAAATGAAACTTTGTTCGACTAAAAAGGTGAAACAAGAAAAAAATAACTCGAAGCAAGTCGAGTCCCCTCTTTTTGTTCGAGAATGTTTAGTTTCTTTCATAATTAGCACATTTCACGATTTTTGGGTCTTTCGTTTTGCCTCAGTGATGTTGTAAGATGTGACCATTCTGCATTTCCATTATATTATTTTGCAGCTTGATCTTTCATTATGACTTCTTTTCCATCTGACATACAGGAGGACAGAAAAGGAATGAAAAACTTCCTTACATAAGTTTAGGATAACTAGAAAAGAAATCAAGCCTTTCTGTGTTCTTCTTTGTTTCTGATCTTTTGTTTCTGTTTACTATTGCTGTCGGCTTGAGAAAGTAAGGTTTAAACCTTAAGTATTTTTGCAGGACTTGGTTCAAGAAATAGTTCGCCTGTAATATTCCCTGGGGCTCCCGAGCCAGCAATGATGAACAAAGGCTTGATTTCTGTCGAATTTTACAGGAATGGTTTGTCAAATGATGACAGAGTGCCAAATTCGTATTCTCCCGTGTATGATCTATTTTCAACTACTACAATTATATAAGTTATTCCCCCATTTTTCTTTCGAATAGTTTGGCTAATTTTGATTTCATGGATGCAGTTCTGCAGGACAGCTCTCTGGTTTAGAATTCAGATCCCAGGAATAGAGTTAGCTTCACATTTTGTCATCATAGCAGTGAGATGTATATATAAAGATTAAGGAACATGGGATTGAAGTATTTAGAGTTCATTTGTACAATCATTAATTTATTAATTTTATTTGCAGTCCTTCCCTTTACAAAATTCATTCAGACGTTACCCACGTTCAAGAATTATTTATACATATATAGTACAAATAAAAAGTTCTTTTGAGTGAATAATAAATAGTTTATATTAGTCAAAACACATGCCACGAAGGTTAATTCCCTCTTTAAAGTGTGTTCCAGTTTGGTAACTCTCAATCGTTACAAATCCAACATCAAACTTAAATTTTTATTCTCCATCACTACCTATATCTATGGGTAAACAAGAAAAGGGTCAAACTCACTCAATTATGTGCACGTTAACGTTTCAATTTTGAATCGAATCGAAATGTTTAGAAAATTGTTCATTTTAGGCTTGATAGTTACAAAAGTGCTTGAAACCAAATTGAAATCATTTACACAAAATTTAAAAATAATTAAAAAAAACTGTAAACACCAACCCTTTGAAGCATAATATGTGATTGGCTTGACTTGGAACGAAAAGTGCCATGATCCGGCTTGCCCCTAGAGCCAACATGGCTGTAAGAACCCATGACCTGCTTGGGCTAACTCAAAATTGATTGTGCCAGAATGTCATAATTTGATTTACACGAGTCAATATCTATTCGTTGCTTGTCTACTAATTGCCTGTTTGGGTTTTATTATTTTAATTTAAATTGTAAGTCACTTAACTTGAGAGTCGTTGACAGTAATATTTCGTGATTGCGGTCGGTATATTCAACTGGTTGGAGGTCACATCTGATGATTCCTGAATTGTTAAATTTGTGCTGCAAAATTAGTACTATGCAAATTGTAAAATTGATATTTGTGAGCGATACGGAAACGTGGAGTGGAGATGAAATTATATATATTACAAATATCTGAAATTTGTATTGTAACTGTACTAAGAATGTACCTAGTAGAGATAACACCTCCAGATTACTAATTTAAATTTTGAAAATAGTGCACTAAAATATTCAGCAATCACATTAGATAGACTTTCACTATGTACTTAGTTTCGCTCTAAAGGCAGAAAGAGAGGCATACCATACTCGATAGTGCTAATAACTTGTGGCTGCTGATGCAGTCTCCGTCTTGAATTATAACTCTAAATACAAACATTCTCTCTAACTACATGAAAACTTCATATGTAGAAAAAACTGTATGCATCACTTATTTCCAGCTAGCTTTTGGTAGAGATCATCAATTTTCGCCTGCCCAAGGAAATTAATTCAACTCGTGTTTGCTTTATGAAGCATTAAGTGTATGACTACCAAGACGGAATAGGATAGAGCTGGATTACCTTATAGCGCTTATGCAAATTGTCTCGTTTCTTCTTCAGTGTTGCAGTGACCAAATCCTTTTCGGTATCAAGAGGATTAGGTTCTACTATTACGCCTCTTATGTGCTCAAAACGTCTTAGCTGGTTTAAAAAGAAACAAAAGATTAATCAGAAAATGGTAATGGACAAAAATGAATGCTGAAGGAGAATAGCATTGAGCAGGAATCAAAATTTCAAGCATGGATACTGAAAACTAGTACATGAGGTATGACCTTGTTTCGTTCTGCTGTCAACTTCAACTGAAGGAGGATATAATCTTGTAGCGGATTAAGGGAACATAGTTCGAGAAATGAATGTTTGTGGCCGTTCTGTTCTGCCCACTTTTTGATGCTATCTTGATTTGGTACTACTACTGCAACCAGCATCGACTTGAAGCTGTCCCCGTAGACCCAAATCTGAAAGGAATGATCACGTATATAGTTAGAGATACGTGAAAAAGATTGCAGCTTGAAATATAATTCCTATATGAAAAGTTAAATTGACAGGAAGGAACTGATGCTTACATCTTCAACAATCGGGGTGATGCCATAAACTTTTTCCAGATATTCAAGTGCAACGTACTCTCCTTGAGATAGTTTAATAAGATTTTTCTTTCTATCAATAATTTTTACAACTCCATTTGGTAACATCTCCCCTATGTCGCCTGAGGAAAGGTTGAAGAGCAGTCCATAACATCTATTCGGAAATAATAATTTTGAGATAGACTTATTTATGTATTCATAAACCTATCTACCTGTGTGAAACCATCCATCCCTTAGGACTTCCCTGGTCAGTTCCGGATTCTTGTAGTATCCTGCAAATGCTGTCCTTCCTTTGATGCATATTTCACCTCGAGGTGGATCTCCTAGTGGATCATACCCCATTTCTGGAACCTCCTCCAGGCGGATCTCTGTATATACAAATGCAGAACCAACTGTTCCCATCATGCACATTTCGTCAGGGAAGCCAAGAGTGGCCAATCCACAGCTCTCTGTAAGCCCTGAAGCATCGACATTGTGATAGGATATAAGTGTACCCTGTGGAAGGTCAATCACAAGTAACAACACACAACTGGTTACAGGAAAACATTAAAACTCGTACAGTCATCTTGCTTAATAAGAAAAATACTTCCTTTTCTCTATCTAATAGTAGCAACATAAGCTTCACACTTATCTGAAGGAGAGAACCAATTAAGGAAATCATGACACAGAGGTAAGAGTTGAACCCCCAATGTTTTGTTTGGTAAGGTCGATTTTACAACATCAGGCAATGTAAATATGTAAGATAAGTTCAAATATTGTCTACTGTACTATCCAATCCTAGCTGCATAAAAACCGTGCCTTGAATGTAAGTTGCTGCCTTGAAATTGATATGCATAAAGTTGGTAAAATTTGAAATCAAAGATCCTAGTCCAGATATGCAGCAATCAATGATATAATTGAAAGAATTGATGTACACAGAAAGTGAGGAAAATGTCATGAAGTATGACAGAACTAAGCCACATCAGATAATTCCAAATGGTGTCTTCTTATTCTTTGTGTGAAAAAGGTATATAGTTAATTACCATAGCCTTGTACTACAAAAGCACAGGAGGTAACGCGGAGGAATTCTTCAATCTCACTGCCTAGAGGTGCACCACCAGAAACTATTAGACGGATCCTGCCGCCTAACCTATTTTTGACCTAAAAGAAATTCAATAAAAAAAATAAATCAGAATTCACTCTATTAAATTGGGTTTTTGATTTTCTGCAAAAATAATTTTTTCTAAAGATAGAAGGAATTATTTTTTTTCATGTTTCTTCTTTTTTATTTTTTTGCTGCACGTTCATGGTAGGATCCATTTCATTGAAACGACCAAATGCATCAAAATTAAGATTCTACCTTGTTATACACAGCAAACAGAGAAGTGCTTTAGTATTTTTACAGTACCAAAGCTATAAACTACAACATTCTAGCAACATCATGTTGGAAGTTCAAACTTAAAGCATGTTTGGCTATTTAAGTGTTTTTTTTTTTATTTTAAACTTAGCCGAACGTGCACTAACTAGACAAACTTTAGACTAACTGGTCAACCACTTGTGGGCCAATTTCAATTTTGAGGCATTAAGGTTCAAATGATGTCATGGCACTGAAGATCAAAGCATATGGATTATGAGGATAGACACAACCTTTCTGAAAGCCAGTAGATCTGCCAATGGCGATGCATTTTTCTGTTTATACCCTAACTTCATCCAGTATAGCTTGCTGTATCGTGAGATCAAGAAACAGATCCATCAGCAGATGTTCTTAAGTCTTCTAATTTTTCTTAGATCAAAAGTAATACTGAAAATAGAAAAAAGGTATTACTATCTGTAGAGCAAGTCGAAAATTTTTCTCCTCCGTGGATTGAGTTCTTGAAGTGCTATTAAGACTCCTGACAGAAGATGAAATTGATTGTTATCCACCAGCCTTTATTCTAATGAAATTGACTGTTATCCACCAGCCTTTATTCTAACCAATCTCAATATATGATTAAAGATGGGTAAATTTCTCCTTGCCTTCATGTATCCTCTCAAAAACTCGAGGTACTCCTGCCAAAAATGTTGGTCTCAACTCCATCAAATCATCCCTCAACCCGTTTATATCCTTTAACATACATCAAGGAACTAAGTCAGAGGATGAGGTCCAACAAAAAGTATTACATCACGTTATCTTTTTTTTATTTTTTATTTTTTTTATTTAATAATTAATTTAGCTTTTGTACACGTTGTTTGTTTTATATGCTGCTGCTCTTCTGTACTCTCCACAATCATATGAAGATCAAAGGAGAACAGTATTAGAAATTCTGACAATTTACCCCGTGATAGTAGCCAACTGAAGCACCCTTGTGGAAGAAATATTCTTCAATCATGCGATCAAGAATGTGAGCAAGAGGTAGAAACGATATGTATACGTCATTGATTGTCATCTAGTAAGAGTTCAAATGAGGGACATTAGAATTGCAAGATGAAGGAAAAAGAAACTTGTTATATAGGAATACTAAGTTCTTAGACAATTATAACATGAATTGTCGAAATCATATAGCCATTAGGCGCACAGAGGTTGCATAAGGCCTCTCAAGTCTTAAGACACAGCCCATAAAGAAGGAAAGAAAAATTAAATTAGCAGTCATGTCAGAATATCGGAAATATAATGCAATATAAATTATTTGACAGGGGTGAGAACAGATCTTACCTTGTCTTCAAATTGCTCCATGAAAAGATCGACACCTATTATGCATGTGGAAATGTTTTCATGTGTCAATATAACACCTTTGGGATCTCCACTAGTGCCACTGGTGTACATAATTGTGCATATGTTAAACGGCTGTGGCGGCACGATATCTGATGGATATTTCCTTCCCTGGCAAATGATATACATGATTTTAATTGATGGGAAAATTACAACTATTACAACTAACAGAAGATTAGAAAAATTGCAAGAAGATTGAATAGTCAGTGCATTATTTACTGTAAAAATGATAGTCACTTGACTGAATGATGATTTATGAAAACCCCTAGAGTCCTACTAACTGGGCACTGTTTCGCAATGCAGCACTTTCACATTTCTTTTCACTTGTCAAAAATGAAGTGAACTATGGCGATGATGAAAGTAGACAATATTCGCCAAGAGGAATGCTGCTGTTTTAAAAAGAATGCACAATTTCCAGTTTTTGGACTGTTTCAGTCTTCTGTTTATGAAGGCAGAGATTCAAAGTGCACCAAACAAACTGAAAAAAAGTAAAAAATTGAAGATGAAAAAATTACCATTTCAAGGAATTCATTCCAAGAGTATGATTTTACACCGATAGAGGCTGCATTATTCTGTTCTTCCTCTGTCATTGAAGAGAAGCAAACTACCACTGCAACCACAAGAAGACTCAGTAAAACGCCTTAAAGCTACTGCAACTAATTAAGATTTAAACCTACATTTAAGCCGTCGAGCATGAGTGCATTCGGGATTCAAAAGCTGCATGTAAAAGTTTGTTTAATCAGAAAACCATCCAAGAACATACTTTGAAACTTATACAGAAACATTATTGAAGAAAGAAAAAGGAAAATAAGTCGGTGATGCTCACTTCTTTCACTTTTCTATCTTGGATGAAAACAAAATCAACCTCTGCATGATCTATGATGTAATTTATAGCTCCCGCTCCTGCTTCATGAAATATCCATGAGGTTAAATATTTTTCTTGCAGCAGCAATTTCATACGTTTGAATACCATACAGGACACATCACAGGAGAAAAAAGAATGAATAAAGATCAATCCAAAAATTATCTACGCACTGGCAAATACTCCGAGGAAAAACATGATAATTAATTGAAAAGAAAAAAGTTCAAGGAACAAAAGGGCATTCAATGGAATTCGTGCGGTGAAGTGAAACAAGCAAGTTCACCTAGAGTATCATAGAGGGGAACACAGATTAAACTTTGAGCACTGCATGCCTGCAAAATATCAGTAGTACTTTCTCATATAATATTCAGAAAACATAGAAAGAATGATGAAAGACTGGAATTATCAACAAATTGGAAACTCGGATGACAATATCCAATCTAACCTCCATGGCCACAATCCACTGAGGACAATTTGATCCATAAATTCCAACTCGTGCACCCTAAAAATTTAAAATAATTTAACTAAAGCAAGTGTGCAGATTAGCAGATATATAACCATATAAAATCAGAAAATATAACATACTAACTAAAATATGAATATCATAGATGTGTGTTCTTACAGGTTCAATCCCATGAGCCCGTAAAGCAGAACCAACATGTAAAACTTCTTCGTATACTTCCTCATAGGATTTCCAGAGATAAGGGCCCCACTAAGATGATAGCGCAAAACAAGATAAAATATATCAAAGAGTGATTTCTCGTGCATATATGAAGTAGCTAAAATTTTTGTCAACATTTGCAGGATGAGTAGGATGTTATTGTACCTTCCCATTAATAATTTCACGCCATCCTAGCATCTTGTTTCCTGGATACTTCTCAACAGACGCTCTGCACATCAAACAAATTCAGCTCTTAATGAACCTAATAGCAGTATCTAAAGGCTGATAAATTATTTTTTCTCCTAAGAATCAATAATAGACTAGTTGGGACATTTAATCCTATCAAAACACAAAATGCTGACTGGAGCCTAATCTGGACACTTGTCCCTCACTGCAAAACTTCATAAATATATCAAGTCACCTAAATATTCCTACTATATAAAGGACTCTATAAGAGGCTAGTTTTGTGCGTATTAGAGGCATTGACTCTTGTAATCTTTTTCTCCATTTTAGTGAACAAATTGGCGAAATGCCCGCAACGTGCATACTTAGCTTTTTCAGTGAACAGGCCAGGTGCAAACAAAAGTCCAGCATCAACTAGAGACGGTCTTCGATTTATAAAGATATTGGGCTACCCTCACCGTTTAACCTTTTAGGGTGGAACTCTAAGTCCCTACAAGTGGTATCAAAGTCGTGTCCAAGATAGACGTGGATGTACAAGATGAATCCCCAAACGCATGTGGAAGATCCAGAACGGAGATTCGTGTCCAATTTAGTTGCAATGGAGGGACATTCCATGATGGAGCCTCAATGGTACCGCGGGTTTAGTGCTGTGTAGATGGTGTAGATCTCGATTAAATGTGCATGTGATTTTCTAGTTAAAGGAAGATGGATGGAAAACATCAGAGGGGGGCTGTGATGAGCCATGATGATGTGCTACTTCGTTCAAGGAGATGTGTAAATAGGAGTCCCACGTTAACTAGACATGTGAATGGTCTTCGTTACAATTCTCCTTATTAGTTAGCCGTTCGGGACAGAGTGAAAGTCTCTACACTTTCAACACAAGGAATTAGCATTTATTCCATACCACAAAACACAAATTTGTTTCCGATTTCATAATTATTCAGTAATTTGACAAATTTAATTATTTCAAATTCAGTATAAAGGGAAATTCTAAAATACCTGAACATTTCCCAAGCAGTGCCTAAAGCAGGATCAGTGGCCGGAAATGCATGTTCTGCTATTAGATTCCTGTAAACAGGACCAACCGACGGCAGTCCATCTCTCCCTTCCTTCCCTTCTTCCACCTTCACTGCAAATTTCTTCATTTTACCTTTCTGCAACTCAATTCTCAGTTACTTTGTAAAACAAAATTATATAGTGAATATTTCAGTGCCCATACAAAATTTGTTGACAAAGCTAATATTTAAGTAGCAAGCAGAGCAAGAATTCTTCGTTCATAACCAATTTCATGAGGGGTCCGCACAATGAATGCAGCAACAACAATAGTACAATACATAGTGCGTTCATAAATACTAATTCGTACAATAAATTAATTGTTTCACTTTTCTCCTTGCCAAACTTTGAATTTCAGGCACGATCACTTTAGCCTTCATACTTGTGGTGGTGTTGGTGGGTTCGGTTGGTAAAGAGTCTTAAATTGGTGATGCAACAATGCAGTAATGTTGAAAATGTAGACAAATCAAAATTTTAATAAAAACCATAAGAAAAGATTTAGAAAAATATAGGAAACTTTATGGAAAAGAAATATATGGATAGAGACTCAGGCATAATCACACCTCAGTTAAAAAATATATATTTTTTATTTTCCTGGGAAGTAGAAACTGCTGTATTTAAGGATGAAGAATAAATAACGTGAGAATCAACAACACTCCCCTAAATTTTTTCCATGCCAACTGGAATATTAAATCCCACCAAACTCATATCATCTACCCAAAAAATAATATTCCAATCTTAAAAAATGAAAAAAAAAAAAAATTATGTATATAAAATAAATCTCATCAAAAAGCCTTTTAACAGCAAAACTTTTGATAAATAGGTGCCAGGAGAAACTTAAATGCACAACAACTGTTTGTTTTAATGCCACAGTGAACCACCTTATGTGCAATTTGAAAATTAGAAATTCATACCATATAGATCATATATAGATGATAGAGAAGAGATGCAAGGACTTACAGAATAATTAATGTGAAGCCGAAAAAGGAAAATTGATTTCTTGATGATGAAGGTGGTGGATGAAAAATCCCTTCATGTAAAAAAGCTAAATATACGCAAGGCGAAATAAGTATGGCAGTAGAACACAGACAAATTGGGTAGTTGAGACTTGAATTCAAAATACCGATATCGGATTCTTATCCATTAATTAATGCAATGCTACTAATTTCTCTAAAATTAATTCAACTTTGAGCGACGACCGTCATTGACGCCAGACGGAGGATGGCACTGCCGACGACTTGGAAGCCATGCAGACACTGCAGTGTTACTGACTAAATTAAAATTTAAACTTCTCCACTGACAAAGGAAGAGTTCTATTAAGACTGACAATTCAGAGGTCGTGGGTTCGATTGGTAGGGCTCTTGGAAGGCAAGGCATATACGAGAAGGCAGGAATGTATTGGAAGGTAAGGCGTAACGTAGGTTGGTTCACAAGGCACTTTGACAGTTCAGTCGGAGAGGCGCTCGGACCCTGGTCAATAAGAAGCACATCTCACGATTTAATTGGTCTGTGTGAAGAAGGGTCGGATCACAGATTCAAGGAATAGTCGTCGAAAGCGGACACCTTGATAAAAATAAAAATAATAATAATAATATTAAAAAAAATTGTGACTAAAAAAACTCGAACTTTAAGGATTAATTTGAAATTTCGCATGACGTTCGGTGACCACATGTAATGAATATCATTTTTAATACGAAAATTAAGTCGATATCCTTTGTTTAATTTAAAACCCTACTAAGTTGAATGTTAATATGTGATTAAAATACAAGAACAGTCCTGAGGTTTACTGCCTTTTAACAATTTCGTTACTACTTTTCTGTTCTTTATAAATAAAATCCCAACTTTTCATTCTTTTCAGCATAGTCAATGCCCAGTCCATCGTTTATAGGTTTAACACAACGTGTCTATAATATCGAAGTTTTTTATTTTTACTAGCTTGACAACACATACATTACTCGGTCCACTCTCATATCTGGAAAATCATATGATGAGTTGGCTTAGATCCGTTAGACGTCATTAGTTGTTTCATTAGTGATTCTCCACTAAAATTTTGACATCTTAACCAATCGAAAATTTTCAATATTGTGCTGTACAAGTGACATGATCTTAAAACATCTTTTTGATTTTCTAATAAGAGCTGATGTTTTAAATTGCGAAAAAAATTAAATAGGAAAGAGCCTAGATGAAAGCAGGTCAACTAATCTCAACTTTAAATTAGTATATTAAAACCTATTGCCAAAATTATGGTTGAAAAAAAAAACAAAAACAAAAACAAAAAAGAAGAAGAAAAGATTGACATGAACTACTAGACAATCTAAACAATCTAAACAAAGAAAAGATTGACATGGACCGCTAGACAATCTAAACAATCTAAACAATCATTCATTAATTCGTAGGTTTACTTATTTTCCGAAAAGAACTTGTGTGTGACGACTTAATGGTGTAGAACACGACGAAGCTAGTTAAGAACCACAAGAGAAATCACTTTATACTCTAATTGTGGATAAAATACTTGTGTGTGACAATTTAATGGTGTAGGACATGACGAAACTAGTTAAGAATCACAAGAGAAACCACTTTATACTCTAATTGTGAATAAAGTACTCGTGTGTGACAACTTAATGGTTATAGGTTAGAAGGATTGTATTGGTGACCATCATCTACTATATTTGGATGGCAAAAAAATAAAAGAATTTTTGAGGGACCAAGTGTAAAAAAACATTGTTAGACGAATCAAAACACATGCATATAAAGTTATGTTTTCTTTGTATTCGAATGTTTTGATTCAATTTGAGTCTTTTGCAATGAGTCTAAAGATCATATTATTTGTACATCTTTCTTTTTGTTGCTTGAGGATGATCGGAGTAGTTGTATGAGTCACTTGATTTTGATTTGTCCAAATACGTCCAATGCGCTTATATATGTATTTTGATCAATAGAATTTCACATTTACCGATCAAAAACCAGTACTGGTAACTTAAATTTTTTTATGAAATATTCCCTCTAAAACGCAGTTTTTAGTCGTCATACATTCGGAAGAACCCAACATATCTACTCACGTGCGGACTATAATTATTCTTAACTGTGCAAAAAGAACTAAAAATATACTTTTGAATATATGTAAACAAATGTCCCACATGAGCTAGCTGTGAAGATGGTCTTTAGTATTTTAAAATATTAGCTACTCCACCTAATAAGAACCTTTCGAGATGAATACGTACCACCAAGAAGGTAGCAGAAAATTAATTGGCTATTAATGTACACCACGCTAGTAAAGGGGAAGAGCAGCTAGACACATTATGTTAGTGCTGCACACAAAAATCGTGAAACTGCAAATCGAATTGAAATCCTTGAATTGAAACCGTTGGTTTGGGTTCACGTGGGTCTATGGTTTCTTTTTCCTCAAACTGAACCAAACCGTTTTAAAATGGTTTGATTTAAGTTTTGATTTTAAAAAATCGCACAAAATCAAACTGAATCGTTTTTAAATTTTTTAATTAAAAATAAATTTTATTACCTTAAAAATTTTACAGTTTTCACTTTTCAAAAAAAAAAAAAAATCAATTCAGCAATACAAATTATAACCATCCTATTAAAAAAATTATAGAAAATAAATTAAATTCATCATTATTGACCTATGATTTAATAAGTTCACAATATATGTTCTCACCCAATATCTAAACTAAATTAAAATTATTTCAAAATCATATGAAATGAAGAAAAAAAAATATATTTTAAACAGTCCAAATTATAATTCAACAAAACTATGTCAGCAAATCACGTCCAAAATTTTAGAAACCTTAACATAAATTCTCATTTCCCTAACATTTGACGATTGTTTGCCACTGTTGAACAAATCGTCGGTCGCCTTTACCTGTTAGTCTACTAATATCTACCTAAATCACATTTTTTTCTCCTCTTTCGGTAAGTCTTAGTATCCATTTGATTGCAAATATTGAATTGAAAACGAATTTTAGGGAATTGAATTGTCTAGAAATTGTTTTCCTGGTAATTTTAAATTATTGTGTTTGATTGGTATAATTTTTCATGTGGAAAAATGTTGAAATAAAAGTGTCTTTTGAGGTTCGTTTGACTTTGTTTTACATGAAAATTGTCAATTAAATGGATAAATTTTATTGGTATTGCGGATGAAATTTGTTTTAAAAAAAATTAAAGAAAATCATCTATCTTTTGATGTTCGTTTGACTTTATTTTACGTGAAGATTGCCAATTAAAGGAAAATATTTTTTTACTATAATTCTTAGAATTTGTTTTTATTGCCAACAAAATTTTTTTTTTTAAAAAATGTGTACAGTACCCAGAAAACCAATTCTCACCATATTGGTGGGAATCAAGAAAAGTCCAATTTCTAGACAACCAAGAAAGAGAATTCTATGGAAAAAAAAACCTATCAAACATGGCAAAAAATGAAAGTTGGAAAAAGAATTACATTTTCCATGGAATTTGGGTGCCTATCAAACAAGCCCTTAGATTTTTATTCAAGTCATTTTTTTATTGTTCTTTCTTTTATTTACTTTTTTTAACTTATTATACACTTGGGAGTTGTAGTTTGGATAGAAAAATGATTGTTTGTGTATTTAAATGATAATGAACTTGTTTGTAATTTGAAAAGAACGAAGGACGGAGCGTACTAATTGTGTGAAAATGTTAAAATTTCCTAACTAATACTACTACATTAGACTTTCATAAAGTAGAGGATGAAATTTGTCAATTCTCAATAAACTGAAACTCTATCTATCTTTGTATATCTAAACATATCATGTTCAATCATTATTTAACATCTCACTAACAAAACAAAAGAAGTTTTAACCAAACTATGATAACAAAATGTAAATATACATTTACCAACAACTATATGATAATATGAATGTCAAGCAAGAAAAGGTAAATAAAAATGAAAATATATGTATTTGTTCTATTAACATCTTTTAGCAACCAACTTTAAAAATAATTTATTAATGAATTTCATTGTAAATATGAATGTAATTTAACATTACTAATTTTCGTTTAAACTTATATTTAACTTATATTAAATACATTACTATAATGTCGAAAGGTAAACCGCGAATTAAAACCGAACAAAACCACAAATTATGATTTGATTTGAAAAAAGTTCAAATTGCATAAAATGATTTGAGTTAAAAATATAACACAAACCGTCCAAATCGAACCGCGTTCACCCCTACGTTATGTCATGCAAGGTGAAACTTACTTTGAAGTTTTAGAACACATTCATAAATAATTATAACAGCAAACGATCTAATTACCCAGGAATAGGGGTCTTTGAAGTCATTACAGTCTTAAACGATGAAAGCTAACATCATTTACCAGGTCTTTACTTACCAAATACCTACAAGATACACACCTAACACGAGATTACCATTACTGACTAACATTAACGTCTACTTCAACAAAAATTATCACAGCGAGACTCAAAAATCAAGAATTCAACTTTCTGCTCCTTGCAACAGAAGGGTGTGCTCAGAATCACGCGTTTACAAAGGCATGCCAGCTAAGCCTTCAAAATCACACTCGACATTATTGATGTTCTCTTTAATTTCCAGTAGTCTAGATTGCAAAGAAGCAACTTCATGATTCTTCGTCTCTTTAGTTGATCCAACAACTAAAAGCTTTTCTTGCAAGTTCCTTATCTGTTTGTTGATCTCACCAATCTCTTCGTCCATCTTATTTATCTCAAGATTGTGCTCAACAATTTGGCCGTTAATTTCCTCTGACTGGCTCATAAGCTTTTCCTGCCTTCCTTTCACTGATCCCAAGCCAGTAACACGGTCGCGCACTGCCAGAACATCAAATCCATGAATTTCCAATTCCTCAAGCGTCTCCAAAATGTCATCTGTAATGCTTTTAGGATCATTAAATTGCAACCTCGAAACTTTATCAACCACACTCGAAAAGGTTACCATATAACCTACAGCTAAACCTTCACGAGAACTCTCTTTATAAGATTCCAAAGGTCGGAAATGTGGGTTTTGCGGCATTCTTTGGAAAACTTCCATGGATTCGATTGTTTTCCAAAGCATTGTGTTCTTCACGAAGGGCAAGCTTTGCTGCTCACTCGGCACAAATTTATTTTGCTTCTCGCCGGTTCCAATACATTGCCCAGCAGTCCTTGTGAGGATAACTTCTGCAGAAAATTAATGTTGTTAGGTAATCCAGACATACAAAAGTGGGATCAACAAGAAAATGTATATTAGCTTTATACCGGAGCCATCAAAAGCAGTTGGAGTTGGAGCCTGTGTTCCTTCAATCCACTTAGAAAGAGGTTCATCGTCCAATTTTTTGCTGAGTACTTCAGCAATGACTTTCTGGGCCTCCTTGACTATGCCATTTGAACCCATGGTTTTCTCGCCGGATGTATCTAGAGAAACAATAGAAGGACGAAAAGGATGACATCAGCAGACATAATATTAACAAGTTATAAACGAAAAGCATCAATAAAGCCCATAAATTTCTACAATTTGACAATCTCTACAATCACCACGCCCCAAAAAATTACAAATAAAAATGGGTGGAGCTATTTACATCTACAATTGTTATATATCTATCCCACTTTATATCCATTTTTATTAAAATATTAAAAAATTACTATTTTAATCTACGTCACATTTCAATGTTGTCCTTATTAAATTTATTCATTTAAACAATATAGATCCATACAAATTTTATATATTCATCCCACGTTAAATACATCCCTAACACAATTTCAAATAAAAAATAAAATTCACTACACTCATTCCTGTTCTAACAATTCAATAATTAATTATATAGACCAAAAAAGCAGAAACTGATGAAGACTTTTCCAGATAATACGAGTGCTGTGGCTCACCTGGTGAGATTTTCTTCTCACTAACAAACTAATGTAATTAGTAGATCTTTTATCATTGCATTTGTTTGATAATTAGTTCAGCATAATGTTCAAAGCCATTTTAGGCTGATCCCATCCCCCTACCTTTCTCCCTCCCCTGGAAAACAAATTTAGATAAAAATGTGGACTTGAGCATAGAATCCCTATTGATTTCCAGAAAATTTGTTGTCATTTGGTCTCAGAAATCTTCTACATTTGCTTATTGAGCTAGGTACTGTGAATTGCCCCTTCACTTCTGATAAGTGTATTTTATACACTTATTCGGTACTTTAAATAGCGATATTTGATGGTTCTTTCAACAAATTATATCATAAATTTTTGTATTTTATGTTTAATAGGTGAAATTTTATGAAGGAAATGGATTTAAAAGAAAGAAGCAAAAGTGGGCAAAATTGGATAAAATGGCTAAATTGTATGAGTTCCAAAGTTCGGGGACTAAAGTGCAAATATTCAAAAGTTGTGTCAAACCTCAAGATGAAGATCTAAGAGCGTTAGGAGTCAATTGGATGAAGAAGGATGTCAAAGGGATAGGCAAAATATGATCACAAATCAATTTTCAATCGAAAAATTATGCTCCGAAATTTCAGGCTTACATGCAGACCCGTTTCAGACATAGTAAAAGATTGAATTGGAAAATGATGTCTAAAGCAAAGTTGTAGCCCTTTGAGTTAACTTTTCAACGCAACTTGAATCGCCTCAATCGGACGTCAACATATAAAGTTATGACAAAAATACTAAACGAGATGCTGTATGCCCGAAAGTGGTGCCGCAGCGCCACCAGAACAGAGCCGTGGCGCCGCCTGGGTGAGTCTAGGGCACTTTTTTACCCATTTTGAAGCCCATAAAAACCCTACTTTTTACACACGCTACTTGAGAAAGAGATTGGTTATAATTTATAGAGACAAAAGGAGCTGCAGACTGATGCTCTCACACTTTTGAAGGGAATTCCACACATTAGAAGCGATCCACACATTAATAGGCAAGAAACAAGTCTTGCGAGAAAAAGTGAGAGATTCAAAGGGAGAAAACGATGACAAATTTATCGTGTAAAGCATCAATTGGAAGAGGAAAGAATTCTTGATGCAAGATTTACTTCTTTTTCTACATATTTAATTCTAAATCCGGTGATATACTCTAAAACAATTTGTTATTTCTCTTCTTTCATTATTCGCAGCGAAATCCTTTGTTAGGGCAAACAATGTAACATATTTGGGACTCTTTATTTCTTTTATTTGAGATTCTTGTTCATAATGATTATATGTGTGGGTTTTAATCATGTTCTTAATGCTTTGAATTTTCTGGCCAATTATTCAATGATTTCGTGAACAATAATTGCGTACAGATGCGAATTCTTGTGTAGACCACATATTAAAATCCGGTAAATTAATATAACGTGTAAAGATACATATATTAATTGTTGCGATCCTATATGAATTCTTAGAACTATTATTTCGTTTAAATAATATTGATTCACATAGAGATATGAAATTGAATTATTTAAATAGGCTCAATGAGAACTCGAGATAAGTAAATTGAATACCATAGAAGAATTCAACCGGACACTATTTTAGATTTTATGAATCTCGATATTAGAAATAAATGTTATCAATAAGTGAAGTTGTTCCGCCCTAATATTCATTTATTATTTGAATTCTCACTCATTTTCTATTGCACTCACAAACTTTTAAGTAGTTAGAATAAAATCCACTTTTAATCATTGTTCTCATTTATTTTCGTCAAATAGTAGTTAGAAATAATAAATTGAGTATTGAAGTATAGTCCTCGTGGGAACGATAATCCAGACTCAAAAGGTCTACTTTACTACTTGTTATGATCCGTCCACTTGTGGGACAAAATCGACAACAACTTCATCCCTGCAAGATATTAGTTTTGGAACTTATAGGTTTCTTTTATGGACCACACATTCGTTAGCCAAAAACAATATGCATAATTCTTGAAGATACACTTCTTACAATATATAGCGAAATAACCCATGTAAACCTTATTCTGATATTCTGCATTTACAGCCATATGAATCCTAATTGTTTTAGAAGGCACTTCCTAGAAATTCTCAGATTCATCAGCATAAGAAATCCATAAATCAAATCACAAATCATCACAAACAGAAATAAATATAGCAAATTAAGCAAATCATCTTAGAATAGCACTGGATTCAAAATTTTCAAATCCACGATAAAAGGTAATTGTTACTTTTTCAAATTCCTGTTCATATATTGTTAAGTATGTATATATTTGCTCTAATGGTGTCTCTTCCATTGTTTACTAAATTTTTGTCTATTGAATTACAGGGTATTGAAGCTCTTCGAACATATTTGGATAATTTCTTCTCGTCAATTAGGGTTTTAGTTAAATACAAATTCAAAAATAATATAAAAAGATTTAAGAGGAATTTAATAAAATAAATATAAGAGGATGAATTTAGAGTTATATATTTTTATTTAATTTTATACATGTCTATTTAAGTAAATTTACATAAGATTAAAAATACAATAAAATTATATTTGTAAAAGTGGATATATATACAGAAAATATGGATGTAAATAGTGGCTCCCATAAAAATACAGGTTAAAAGTATTTCAGTCTTCCAAACCAATATCTTGTAGAAAGAAATTGCCTGTAGTAGAACTACTTACCTTGAAATTGAGATGCAACCATTTGATCTGCCAAACGTCTTTTTCCTCTCTTTGATGAATTCTTCTCATTTGGATTGATTAACGTCCTGGAAACTTTCTTAGCTGAGACTTCTGCAAAGGTGGTTTTCATCATATCGACAGAACTATTTTTCTGCTTTGGCAGACCATTGAAGAGATTCTCAGAATCCTTGCATGTTGTGCTGTCCTGATTGCCCACCAAGCCCTTCATCCCTGACATCTCAACTTCACCACTTGTGTGAGAACCAACTTCATTTGCTGTACAATCTTTTGTAACCATTTCATCTTCCAAAACATCTACTTTCTGCATGGTGCCTAAATTCAAGAATCTTTAAATCAGCAGATCTAGAAAGTTATTAACATTAAGGAAAAAGAATTCACTAATCAAGGAAGGAAGGATGAAAGGAAGAAACAGGAAGACCAAAAAAACAAAAAAAGAATGCACAGACCTGTTACCGGAGTTTGGGGACTGTTGATTAATATCCTTCGAGGCCTTCCCCTCTTTCTCTTCTGAATGTTCACTTCAGTACCTGATTGTTTACTCTCCTAAAGATAGCACAACAGTAATGAAACAAGAAGCAGGAGCATTTAATTAAACAGAAGATCTGTAAAAGATAAGGGCATGAAATAATGAGGTTCAATAAGGTCAATATAACTCATTGTCTAAAAACTTCTGATTGAGGCTCGCCTCAGTCTGAAATGAACAACAGGAAAACGCAGCTTGCGAGGCAGTTTTGGAGACACGCATCATTTGAGCGAGGCATGCACCTCAAGGCTTTTGAGGTGTACGCTCCTTAATTCTCCACACTTATTTATTTTGTTTCGGCGTCAGCCCTCATAACATTAAAAATTCGGATTGACCCACTTTATGAATGGCCTCACTACTCCCACTAGTCTCATTAGTAAAAGCCTAAAACATTAAAAATTCGTGTTTTTGGATTGAAAAAAGCAATTACTATGACATAAAAAAGTCTCTCATATACCACTTCGATAATAATCTATAACATAAAGATTATTAGTATTTCTTTTTTTATTTGGGATAAATTAGGCGCTTATTTTGCTTTTTCTAATTTATTTATTTATTTTTTTACATTGTTCTGGTTCAAATCCTAGGCTAAAGCCTTAGAATCCGATTATATACTAATTATAGTAATATAAATAAGTTGGTTAGTTGGTGGAAAAGGATACTGGATAGCAACCAAAAAATGAAAATTTTACATTTGTTTTTTTACTTTGTGCTTGTTTGGATTTCATTATAAGAACATTATAATTTAAAGGTCAAAATCAAACTTTATGCTAACCTACACAATCATACGATTCACAACTACTAACCACTCATCCACTACTCATTTCTATCACATTAAGCACCTGTTTGGTTCCCACTATTTTTTTTTATTAAAATCAAAAATATGAACGTTATCCATCACGTCAAGCCATCAAATTTGAATTTCGATTTCTTGTGTGGGGCCCATAACAGCTATATTTTTCATTCTCATTCTTCCAAAAATGAGAAACAAACGAGGCAAAATTAAGTACTAATAATGAAAATCAAGCACTTCTTTGTTTTCTTCTTTTCTTTTATTTATGCAAGGGGGGAGGAGGCAAAGAAAGGATTCAAAGAAACAATAATAGGAACTGGTAATTAAAAACTAATAATTTAAGATACAAAATTCAATGACCCAAATTAAAATGCCCAGCCTTAAAGCAAATTTGAAAAAAAGAGGGGGGGGGGGG